CTTAAACAACAAAAATACTGGGCACTTGCCTAAAATACGTGATTTCTCCCCAAGCCCCCGGAGAAAAAAAGTTGTTTTTTACATTTTTAGAATGAGGAAGAGTCTTCTGATGATAAACAAGGAAAAAAATTCTGGTGATATGTTGCGAATTCTTAGAGCATGTTCCTATGCACTTTGTGTAGCAAAAAGAAATAGATTTTCTACAAGTATTTAATGATTTTAATGAATTGTAGCTAACTCTTTTCAATCCAAAATATCATTCTGATGCAGAAATGTGAGCTTTTTGGTTATACAAATTTATTTGTTTTAAATTTCTTGTTTGTTTTTCAAAAAAAAAGTCAATCACTTAATAAATGCATAAACTCGTTTATAATGTGCCACTATTAAATAAATAAACTTTTAAATTGCATAAAACTATTGTTGAGTGAAGAGAAGAAAGAGTATTTACATGATAGTATAAAGATGAAATTAAAAAATTAAGAAATCAGATGCTACGTATTGTTTTAAAACGCTTTGAATAACACAAAAAAAGTTATTAGGAAGTTTTAAGTGTTTTTTGAGCATAGCGACGTCTTTTTATATAAAACACCTTTGTCTTGTTTGTGGTCATCAAATTAAAAGTTAAATTAAGTTAATTAAAATAAAAGTAATAAAGAACTTTAAGAAAAGAAATTTAGGAATAAAAAAAATGACCTTTAATTTTTAAATGGAAGAATTTCAATCTGTTATAAAATATTTATTTATAAAATAATTTTATTCAGCTAGCAGCCGTGGCGCAGTGGTTAGTGCATTAAATCCTAGATTTCTTGCTTTAGAAACAAGAGATAAAAGAGTTCAATGCGAGATCTGGGCATACTTTACGTCTTCGTTAGGAAATACAAAAATAGTTCTACGTTAAGAACTTATAATAAGTGAACCAACTAATTATAAAACAGTTTTTTGTTTACGAGAATATATAATTATCAAACGATTTAAATTAGTTATGCGTACATGTAAACAGAGAAAGCTTATTTTTAATAGAACAACTTCATTGATCTATTTATCCTAAAATTATTTTATGGCCAAAGGCTTGCGGTAGAATTTATTTTAGATTTAAATAGTCAAAGATTTTGGTCATCGAATAAATTAATTGAACTTGGTGAGTCTTTATTTATCGTTAAACATCTTCACACCTTTTTACCAGAACTTAATACAAAAAAAAAAATAATATTTTTTCAAAGTATTAGACGTATTTTATTGCTTGCTTTAAGTATTCTAAAATCGAACTCTATTTTAATTTTTTGATGCAACAATTTTTATCATTTTATGTATATTTTATTGAAAAGCTAATGTACCTTAAATATTTTAAAATTTATTTAATTTTTAGTTCAACACCCATTTAAAACATTTTTTGTTATTTTTTTTGCGGCTTTGTTGTCTCAATTTAATAATCCTTATATTAATACTCGCACAAACAGACATCCACACACACACATTGCTTACACAGTTTGTAAGTAATGGATTTTTTCCTTTTTTTTATTTACCAGAACTTTAAACTGAGAAATATGGCTATCACTAGGTCTTCTGCTAAAGTATGGCTCCTTGGGAAACCTACAGAAACATTGTCCTCTTCAATACGTCCATCAAAAAGAGAAATTCTGAGGACACTTCTTTCCATCATCAGCAGGCGAAACAAAAAGTGAAGATATTGGTTTAAAGAACAGTTGAATTAATATCAGCTATCTGGGAAAGAGGCAGAACCCCGACTAAAACGATTAATAATGCTCAAAAAAAAAAAGTAAAAAAAAACAACTGTATAATGAATATCTTATTCTTAAAAAGAGCAGAAGCAAAAAACTAGATAGTTGCAGAATGAAAAAAAATAATAGTTCTGCTAGATGAGAAAAGGCTCATCTAGCAAAACGATTATTTTTAAACTAAAGATTCTCTAAATATGACAATGCAACAGGAGGATCTATTAGGCTGCAACATGGCAGAAGAGGACCAGTTACTAGCAGCTAGAGAAAATCGAAAGCAAAGCAGAGAAATCTTGACTCTCCTTCTCCTTCCACAATTCAAGCAGTTCAAAGAAAAAGAAAATTCTCACTAAAAGTGTGGCATCATCTCTGGATAGGGTAAACATTTCTTACCGTTGAGCACTCTTTATTGTTGGAACAGTGGCTCAGGCTCTTGTACCAGTGGATGAGCTGGCATTATCATACAGCACTATCTGTAAGGAAAGACAAAAGAATCGGCAAGCCGTCGCAGAAGCCGACAAAGCAGATTCTCTTCTAGTGATCCTTCACCTTTATACTAGGATGCAAAGTTTTAAGTGACATTGCAGGTGGAAAGCATAAGATAGATTGAATTTCAATTATTATTACTGGCAGTGGAGTCGAAAAAATGTTAAGTGATCCAATGGTTAGTCGTGGAACCGGTGAAGAAGAAGTAAGCTTGCATGAAGGCTTTAGATGAATAGCATCTGAGAACAAAGGTTAGAGGACAACTTAAAACTTCAACAAACACTGGGCTAAATATTAGTGCATGCACAATTCTAGAGCAGCATCTTAGTGTTAGCTTAAATTATACTTTTTACCGTTTTCACAACAGCATTTGGAACCAGTGGAGGACCGAAAGTACGTCTTTTTAAGTATTTCTGAACAATTAGATCAAAAGTCAACAAAGCTATGTTTGTTTTATCCTATGACAATCTCATTGACACAGAATAGCTTGTTGGAATGCGGAAAGAGATGCTGAAATACTATGTAAAAGCTATAAAGAGTCAGCAACCCAGAGATGACTATCTAGAACTTCTCAATCTGTGTCTTATTTTCCTTAGAGGATCTAAGGATTCAATAAATTTATTAAAGGAGCCAACCACCTTTGCCATCCACAATGCCCGGTGGATGGCACAGGTGATATACTGCCTCAAAATTTACATGTTTCAACATCAGTTCATACTTACTGCAGCCAAGAAGAAAGGAGTCACAAGTACCAGCCTTTTTCTTGCACTTATATACGCTTGATTTTAGAACGAAGCTCCTCTTGCAGAACGAGCTCCTCTAAATAATGCCGAGTTTCTTAATCAAATTCATCTTTATCATCTGTATTCATATTATCGTGTTGCTGGGGATGCTGTTGCAAAAGCTTCTATCGTCACCTTTGGTTTTTCTTGTAACACTTGGTAGGATTGGCCTTCTTTGATTCACGCGCTAATGACAATTTCAAGAAAAAGATGAAAATTTCAAGAAGAAGATGGGTAAAAACAGTCAATAAAGAAGTTTTTCAAGCGACTAGGTGTTGCAAAATTTAACCATCAAAGTTCTTTATATATTTGTCACACAGCGCACGCTGGAACTCTTTGATCTCCTGTTTAACAATGGTAAAAAGAAGGCACAGTCATTCCTTTCAACAGAACCACAAGAATGATAGAAACATCCAGTTTATATTAAAATGCAACATAAGGTTTGTCAAATGAAGGTTGTTAATGAGTCTGCCGAAAGAGACATAGCTCTAACATAGCCGACGACACGGGTTTCAAAGTGAAAGGGCACAACCGTCTATTTCTAAAAAAAGTCCTCGATATCTTTAAAAAAAAATTAAAATAAGAAGAAAAGATCCTGTGGAAAAAAAATTGAGGAAGGGAGAACGGGGCACGTGCCCCCCGGTCCCCCGGCGTTGTTGTCTAATCACAACCTATAATTCTACAATTACAAAAAATGAAAACCAAAAACAGTTCCTTGTTTGGTTAGTGGACAAGCACCGGAAAGAATTTTCTAGTGCATTTAATACTGCTTAAAAATGATGATGAGGCTGAACACTCCAAAGTAATACAAACACTAATATAAACAAAATGAACCTGATCTACTTTCTTAAATAACATTTCTTAACTACAAAATATACTTTGTTACAGGTAATAACATTGGTCAAAAAAAGTGACCAAAAAAGTCAAAAAATATAGCAACCATTAAATATTATCCGATTTGCATAAAATTTGGTCACCAAATTACTATAGTCATACGAAACAAGGACAGCTTTAAAGAAAACCAAAATTTTCAACAATAATATTCTAAATCAATCTTTTTTTTAATTCATATGAATGATCTATTTTATTTAGCATCAAATTTAATTAAAAGAGTGTTTGCTGACAACACTTTATTTTTTTAAACTAACAATATTTTTTTAATCTAACAGTATTTTTGTTTTATTGTTAAAACATATTTTTTTGGTTTGAAACTCAAAAAACAAATAAAGAAACTTCTTTCAAAGAATTTTTGTTGGTATTGATAGTTACATTTCTTTTTTTCGTTTTACATCTTAGGTATTTACATATTTAAACATAGTAGTAATTTAATAAGACTTGAAAAATTAGGGGAAAAAAAATAACAATAAAAAGCATGACTATATCTTCAGCCACATAATATTATTTACTTGACATGTGTAAAACATATCATTAATATACCCTCATAGAATTTTCAAAGTATTGCATCAAAACTGAGCTAATAGGTAAGACCTATGCAAGTAAGAAAAATATTTTATTGTCATACTGTTAGTAAATCCTTGTATTCAAAGGCGTCGCAATATAGTAGACAATGTTCAGAGGGGTGCTTAAAATATGGCAGACTCAAGACCTCCCGATTCTATAATAGGCTTCGGATAATTCCAGAAAAATTGCCTTAGAGATAATGGGCTAATTTTTTCAATGGGCCACCGAGTGTGTTGCAACTCCACTGCTTATACTTTTATAGCTTTCTGTCTCCATACTCTAGTATCTATAGTAACATACTCTAGTATCTATATTTAGGTATTTATACGCGCTATAAATACTGAGGTATCTACAGCTTTAAACGCATAAAGGTCAGTTTCCACTCATCCTTTTATCACCCGCGTAGTTTTGTTTTGGAAAAAATTAAAATTTTTCCTTCCCTTTTTCGTTCCCGTAAAAAAACGGATGAGTGGAAACTGATCTTTAAAGTTTTAATGGGTTTCAAAAACTCATTCATTCAAAGTACAACAATTGGTTAAGCTAAAAAAATATTATCGCAAATAAAAATATAAAACAGTTTAAATAACAATATTTACAACGTAGCAAACATTTTATGCTGGAAATTTTTTTTTTATACAAAACTAAAATATTTTTGCAAGCTATGAATAGTCTTTTTTTAAAAAAGGTAAAAGATTTTAATATACTAAGTTTTTACCTATATTTATTTGTTTAGTTTTAAATGTGCTTTGCTAACTTTACGCAAGTAAAACATATTTTATTCAAACATAATATCTCTAACTCGATAATTCAACCCATTATTATTGTCCCAGTATTCATTACTTGCAACTTTGTACCGTATTGCAAACACCAAGTCTGGAAAACCTTGTGGTAAAGACACTGAAAACATGAATCTGTCAGTTGTTCCATCACTTGACTTAGGTACGTATGTTGCTTCAATATCATTAAAACTTTCCCACTTATTTATTGTATACCTAACAAATATTTCCTTGTGATAATCAATATTTTTCGTTATTATTATACCTGTAATTGTCCTACCTCGAATTAAACACTTTTCTAACGCAACGTTGTGTTTATTCACGTATTGAAAAATATCGTCTGTTTGAGCATGGTTTTCAAAGCACGCAACAAGCTCTATCTTTTTCTTTTTAAAGACCTTGTTTGTAATTACAGGATTACCCGGAGATCTTGCAGACGGTAATGACGAATTTTCAAAAAGTATCCTTTTGTTTTTGTTTTCGTCATCTGACGAGTCGCAAAAGTCAAGGCGTTCTGAACTTAAAACATAACTTCTTATCTCAAATAGATTTAAATTGTTATCGTCGGCAAATGAGACGCTCTTATATGTAATATTAGGAAAATTGTCTTTTGATTTTAAATCGTCAGTTTTGCAAGAGTCTGTACAACTAAAACTTTTTTTTAGTATACCACGAGACGGGGGAACCAAATTTTTATCTAAGTATGATTGCGAAATAGAAATACCAATGCTTGTTGATAAATTTTCCACCGATTGTGTTTTACACTCGAAATTAGTATACTTTTGGCTCTCAATAAGGCTTTCTGAACTCACCCACTGGTTTCGTGACAAAAGACTAGATAAGTTTGTGCCCATATAATTGTTAACGTCGGTACACGATCGACTTGAATGAAGCATATTGGTTAATTCTAGTCCACTAAACTTCATTTTTAAAAAGATTTATATGCAATTTCACTAAATATCTTTGGCTCCTTTTCTAAATAACGTTTTTTCCGAAAATGATATCCGTAAAGTGTTCAACAAATCTACTTACAATGATGCAATTAAAGTTTACCAACAGATTAATGATCAGCCAGAAGGAAAACTGATTTTACAAACTTAATCAACAAAAATACATTAATCTCTAAAACGCTTCAAAATTGTTTTGCAAAATTTTTACTCGACTTTTATAATCGATTTTCCGCCGGGGGTAAGCGCGTTTAAAATATTTTAATGACGTAATTCCGATTTAAAAAAAGAAAACAAGTTAGGAATGTAGTTGATTGTTTAAGTCCAGAAAATAAAGAGTAATTTCGAATTTAATATATATTTAATATAAATAAATTTAAAAGTACATAGAAAATACGAAATAGGATTATTAGGAAAAAAACTAAAAAAAAAACTAAAAAAAAACTCATTTTACAAAATATACTCAAAAATATGAAAATGTGCGCGTGAAGAACTGCATGAGAGTTACGACGAGAATGCGATAGAACAAAACACGTGCTTAGTAAGAATGAGCAGGCAAAATAGTTCCAGTGCATTCACCAAAACCAACTCTGTAACCATTTCCTACGGCACAACCGGTCATTATCACATTATCACCGTCTTTTAGAAACTTTCGAGAATGACCGTTTCCGAGTAGAACATCTCGAGTACCTTTCCACGACAACTCGAGCATACTTCCAAATGACGATTGATCCTGCAGAATATAGCAATAAAATTATGTTTTAATAAGTAATTAAAGATTTAATTAGAGCAGACATTTTCATGAGAAACTGAAAATTCAATTTCTCGTCAAAGTAAGCGAATAATTTTTTTTTTTTAAAGTAAACATTTACATACTGGTCCACTTATTGTTCCTGATCCCATTAAATCACCAGGTTGAATATTGCATCCAGTAACGGTGTGGTGAGCTAACTGTTGTTTTGGCGTCCAATACATATGCTAATTTAGAAAGTTTGTTTTTAAACAAGTTTAAAGTTCAAAATAAGTTTCATTTACTCATCTAATCACTACATGTAAAGTAATGCATTTTGTTAAATCTGATTTAAAATGTTTTAATTTCACTAATTTTCTTTTTAGCTTAATTATCACGTATAAAATTTTATACCTATTAGGTAATGCAATGATTGAAGTTAAAAAAAAAAATTTGCAATAACAAATCGTCAGCTGAGGCTGTATGTCTACATTTTGTGTTTTTTCTGTTTATTATTAATTTTTCAATCAGAGCTTTTTCTTCAACCAGTGGAAGGTATGTCCACTGGTATTAAAAAAAAAAGTACTTTAGAAAATATTAAAATAATCAGTAGAACTATTAAAATTTAAAACTCAATTTTCTCGGAAACACAAAAAATGGACATACGGCCTCTGGTTTTCAGCTGACGTAATTACAACAATGTAGATGTGCTATAAAAAATGGCAGAGCTAAGATATTTTTATATATTATGAACAGTATATCAAAAAATAGTATATAAAAAAAGTTATTAGCCTTTTTAAAAATACTTTTGAACAAATGTTGCAACAGGGTAATATACGAATAATGTTATACAAAACGCAACTATTTTCGTAATGCTAAATTAATGATTCTTGTGTTATATAGAGATCGAGAAAAATTGCCCTTAAAATTTTAATGCCAAAAAGAAAAACGTAAAAAATTTGCTGATATTTTGAAAGTTTTAGTAGGTCTTTTAATCGTGTCTTTTTTTTAACGACGGTTGTGGTGTTTGCTAGTGGATTTAAAAAGGTAGCGTTAACCAAATTTTCAAGATATTATTTCTTTTTAATGCTCAATTGTTTGAATGGTGATTTTAAACCATTTCAAAATCTGTTAATAAAGTTTATCGTTTTTTATCTTATAAACTCCTTTAAAAACCATTTCGCACATGTGAAAGGCTGAACTTGGGTCGACTTAATGTTTTTATTTACAGTCGCTTATATAATGTATTCAAAGAAATATTTAAGAAGTAGTCGTGATATAAAACACGTTCACTCATTCACATAACTAAGTTTATTAGTTTTACACAAAAAAAATTTATATTTGTATTACGTATTTATTTACTTTTCATTTAGCGTACGACACGCAATAAAACGAAGCTAAAAGAAAAGAAATTTAAATACATAATACTAAGTGAAAGACTTTAGGTTTAACGAATAGACGTGCTTTAGCTAGAACTCCGATTGGAAATATATTCATAAATATTAATGTTTTTTATTAAAACAAATTGTACAAGTGTTAAATCAAAGTCTTTTAAAAGAATATTCAAAGTAACAATTAATAATTCATTTTTTAGGAATTATTTATTGTCACATTGGACCCGGGGGTTAAATAACATTCAATAAACATTGAAACTAACTGATCAAATATATTTCAAGATAAAACATTTAACTAACATTTTATCTTTAACTTGAGCTGTCTCCTCGACAATTCAAGTTAAAGATAAAATGCAAAAATAAAATTTAAAATTAATTACAAATTATCTAAGCAAAGAAAATTTTGTTTAGAATTACAATTGGTTTTGGAAACATTAAAAGCCGGCAGTTCGTAAAAACATCTCACTATAAAAATTAGCACACTTAATCTAATTATACAGTTTCTTGTTAATAAGATCGAAAGCATTACATTATTATTTAAAATTTACATAAAAAACTTTATGTAACTTGGTTTCATTTTAAGAGCGTGGTTTCCCTAAAAAAAACTGATGAAAATTTTTCACTGGCGCATAAGATAGCGATAGAAAAACAAAAAAAAAACAAAAACAAAAAAAACAATAACAACACAACTCTAAGAAAATGTTTTCACTGTTGCATACAATTAAGGAAGTGGTCTTTATTTTTTTTGAAATTTTTTTAAAAAAAGATTAGCATTTTAAAAATACTATTGAACTAATGTTGCAATAGGGTAACTGGATTTTTTTTTTTATTATTATTTGAATCGTTAAAACAAAACAATAACATGAAACTTCAATGAGAACCTTTTCCGATTATTTTTTCTGATAACTACTTCAAAATATTTATGTACTATGATTGTTAATAAACAAAAATCGGGCGGAAAACATGAACAAAATAACGAAACTTTTTCTTTTAAACAATTATTTATACTAAAAGAATATTATCAATTAAAACATTAATTATACTTTTTTATTTAATTGACGTTTATGTTTGATTTGTAGAGAAATATACGTTATTCAGTTTATTAAAATGTCAAACACAAATATTTTACAACCTTTGGTCACATAAAATTTAAATTGTATAAAATAAAAGGGTTTTTTTTCTTTTTAATTGAGTCTTTTATTCTGTTTCAAACAAAAACATTATCTGATCTAAAAAATTATCAGTTAAAAAAACATGCAATAGAGAAGCCTCATTTTTTATTGTTAACTGATTTTTCTTTTTAAACTTAATTTCTGTTTTAAATATTAATTAAATCTATTTTGAATTTTAATAATGACTTGGTTCATTTAAAGAAAAGTACTAGATGTAAATGAATTAGCATAAAGCAACGTTGATGTAAATCTGCAAACAAAAAGAACTTCATTAACAATGAGGTTTTGTATTATTTTAATATAAATAAGGCAACATCGACGTAAATCTGCAAACAAAAAGAACTTCTTTAACAATGAGGTTTTGTATTACTTGAATATTTCTGGTATTATCATAACTGGCAAGATGAACCTTTGATATTATCATTGATGATTGGATTTATTTTTTATATTACCATAAGAGGTTGAAACATAATTGTGATATTATCATAGATGGTTGAAATTATTTAAAACTCCTTGAGTCTTTTGGGGTAAACAACAGTAAAGCAGGGAGAAAAATATGCATTTTATTAAAAATATTTTCCAGAAATTTCACTGCTACAGTAATTACATATGGGCAATTCCATTTTTAACTTACGTTACACGCGCAGCAACTTTATCAAATATTTAAACTGAGAATTAAATTTTTAGCTATTTTTTATGAAAGCTGTTAGCCCGAAGAATAACCCAAATAAGCTAAAAAGTTTAGAGTCTGGCCAAAAGAATGCAAACTTATTACTGAAAATGTCACTTACGCTACGCAGAAAATAAGGTAAAAAATTGTTTCAACTTTTAGGTCAGATTGTATTTGGAACTTTAACGAAATGTTGAAAATTCTATACCAATAAAAAAAATACTTAATAATTCATCAAGGTGACCGGCTAAGGAAAATAACTTTTTTTGACACTATATATTTAACCATGGAAGTACAAAACAGATGGAAGTTCAACTGCATTGAAATTCTTCGGGACCATGCTGTTTCGTAAACAATAAAAAAACGACATCAAGACTGTACTTAAACGCTTAATCTTTATACGTTGACTCAAATAGGTACGTTTATAATAATTTAAAGATAAAGGTTCGCCAATAATATTCAAGAAAAACATTAAAAATGGCGCAACAAAACAACAATTTTTTTATAAACTTCATATTAAATGAATGATATATAAGATGAATAAAGTTATGATATAAGATGAATAAAGTTATGATATGCAGCTAAAAAAACTTTAAACTTTAGTTATTTAGAAAACAATTTTTATGATTTTTTAAAAATTGTTTTAGTTATCTTTTTTTATCAAATGTCGTGTTATGACTTGAAGCAAAAAAAGAAGCTTAAACTAAAATGTGCTTTTAAAATTAAGTGGTTCTATTTAATTACCGAGTTTTAATAAACCTTTTGCTGAATAATTGCAGTTACTAATGGTTAAAAATTTGCAGCATATCCCTAGAATAATTAATTTTTTAATGTTTTAATAAAGATCATTTCAGTGAATTTTGTTGTTTTTGTGTCCAGTGAAACTTGTTTTTTTTTATTGTTGGTTACAAGCATACTCCCGAGACGACTTGAAATTGCTTTGATGTTTGCGGCTCGATGAACTTCCATCTGTTTTATACTTCCACGATTTAACTTACGTTACATCACTTACGTCACTGAGCGATTATTAATCGTGTTTATTGTGGATTTTTTATATTTATTATTAAGAGTTAGATTTTTTAGAGTTAAGTTACATAAGAATCGCAAAAGTATTGAACTCATTCATTAAAAGTAATTAACGAAAACAATTTTAAAAAAACTGATGGCACTCTTTCTGGGTAATTTTTCATATTTATGAAAGTTATCAAATCGAATACAGTTTTTCCGCATGACCAAAAGCAACTTTAAAAATTATTTTAGTATGACAACTTTATGAATACTTTTAAAGTCATTTAAATAAGCAAATCTTTTTGTCGAAAACTTTACTTACACTTCTTATGTTTATACGTATTGTCTTATTTTCACTAGGTTGAATTTTTAAAATGCGGCAAAGTATTTACATTTAACGCTTTTAAAGTATTTAAAAGCGTTAAATGTAAAAGCGTTAAATGTAAATATCAGAGTTCAGAAAAGAGAGGGGATGCAGGTATATGTGATCGTTTGTGACAGGAGGGAATAGGTTAAAAATTGACAAAAATAAGGTGACGTACTTTATGGACGACCCGCTTAATTGCATTTACAAACGATTTGTTTACTAAAACAAAAATATTAACCAAATACGAGTTTCGTAAAAACGTGTTCATTTTGTAAACAACAAAAACATTAGTAAACGCATAGAGTTTTAACTTGTTACACAAATTTAAAACTCAAATGTTCTTTAACTAAGCATCCTTATTCAAAACTTTAATTGTAAAAACATAACATTTAATATTCTTACGCATATATTATAAAAAAGTTAAGTTTTAAAACTAAAATTTAGAAAAAGCAAAACTTTATCATGTTTTTGTTAACTTAAGTTATGTGAAAATTGCTAAAGTTCTTCGTTATTTTCTTAAAATATATACAAAGTAAAAAATCTGACCAATAACAAATTGAACATGTTAGCTGCATTTTCATACTAAATTAATTCGGATTATGCAAATAAATTCAGGGTTAAAATAACATTTTACAAT